TGCTTATCTGTCCAATATCATTTTCTTCACATTACCGTTATCTATTTTGATCCACAAAAAACACTTGCAATAATTGAAAACAAGCCGGCCGGGAACGAAAAATGCCGAGAAAGCACACAATCTCCGCGAATTTCCGAAAATCTTGTGATTTTTTTTTTCGAAACTACAATTTTATTGAAACTTTAAATTCTTAAAATCGGATTACACGTCAATTCACAATAATATTTTTTTGTAACTATGATAAAAAATCGTATGACATTGAAAATCGTAAACAAAAGTCCAATTGAAAAAGTTCTGTAGGACACAATTGTGATCACTCGAGAACGCTAGAGGCTTATGAGCTCGCAGAACAAGCGAAAGAAAATAAGCGAAAAATTCAACAAATTTGTAATAAATTGATAATAGAAGATTTATAATCTTCAAACAGAAAATTCTTAAAATTACCGATAATAACAAAGTAAATAAAAATTAAATAACTCACGTTTTCAAACTTTATTTCCGAAAAGCGTCTTTAAAATAGGCCTTTTAAAAGATAGGATCTTTAAAATATATTAAAGGGAAATATTGGAAGAATTAAAACTTTTAAATAAACGAACGCAATAAAGCAGATTAACTAGATTAACGCAACACTAGTTTAAATGTTCACTTGTTTTCTGTTGTTCTCGCATGTCCATATCGACTGTGTTTCACTGATCGAATTCTATTGTGGTTTTGCTTGCGATTTTCAATATCTTACGATTTTTTATTGCAGTTACTGAAAGATATTATTGTGAATTGTGACGTGTACAGTGATCCGATTTTAAGAATCTACAATTTCAGCGAAATTGTAGCTTCGATAAAATCATGAGATTCGCGGAAATTCGTGGAGATTGCGTGCTTTCTCGGCGTTTTCCGTTCGCGGCCGGTTTGTTTTTAATTATTGCAGGAATTTTTTCGTGGATCAAAATAAATAACGGTAATGTGAAAAAAATCACGATATTCGATAGATGTGTGTACAAGAACTGTAATAATGTCAAATCAGAGAACTGTAAATTATTTTATTTTCCACAAAAAACTGATAAAAGATTTGATATTTGGATAAGAAACTGCGGTAAGTAAAAATACAAAATTCTTGAAAATACCAAAAATATTAATTGATAAATAAGCTGAATTTTGTGAAAAATAAGAAATGGACATACCTTAAAAATATTTTAGTAATTTTCTTTAATAAAATTTAATTAAAATTTTTAAAATATACTGTGTAGCAACAAGAATGTTTTTTAGATTTTTTTGAAAAATAATTATTTTTTATTTAAAAAATTTATTTCACATATGAGTCTTATTTTTTAAATAAAAGATGTGTGTGTGAAACTGGCGTCTTATTTCATGGAAACTCATTAATTGTTAAGAATTTTGGCTTTATTTTTAATAGTTCTACAGTTCTTGATGAATTAAACTAATAGTTCTGGTCATTAAATCAAAGAAATGGCTTAGGAACTGAGCCGCCAAGTTCACACAGCGACTCACTTTGTTTACGACATTTTCCCTATCAATAATTGTCAGAATTCAAAAATTACATAGTTCTATATGAATGCTAAAGAGAGTTCTGCATTTTAAAAGTAAAAAATATTAATTAAGATTAAAAAAAGGCATTCAGATCCTTACATGTATCGGCATAGACGCCGGTCAATTTTCAAGAGCTCTGATTATTTTAAAGCAATTATAGTTCAATTATAGCTCAGATTATTTTATAGCAAGTATAGTTCTGAGCATGTACAGGGTGTTGCACTTGAATACATGGCAGTATGACGGATTGCCTATCCCGTCAGAGTCCGATTGGTCGAGAAATACGCGTGCCGATATTATCGATGAATGCGTGCGCGGATTAAACAGAACAAGTGGGCGTGCTGTATACGGCGCGAAGCCCACGAGTCGTAAATTGTTTATCTCATAATCTGTAAACTCTCAATGCGCCTGTGCTAAATCCTTTTTTAATGTAGTAACGGTGAGCTGAAGGAATAGCGGGAACTTAAAAGTGTTCACTGAGTATCATGATTAAATGACAACATGACATATGTCAACCTCTAATGCACGAGTCAGAAGTTGGCTATATCGCAGGGTCGAAAATGAAATGGTGGACGTCGCCCGCGATATTTCAAGCCGGAAAATCTCGTATAATATGTAAAATATTTACATTAAATCATACATCATTATATTCGTTTCAAACAGCGCTACAACTTTTATTATATCAAAATATCTACATTATTATAAAAAAATTATACATACCTCTCCGTTCTTTAATACAGATAAATTTTGTAATCAACCACTATACTCAAAATAAAGTTCAGTTAAAGCCATTTAATTTCATATATATTTGTTATCTCTATCTCTATTAGTTTAAATGGTCTATCTCTTTTAATTTAAAAGATAAAAGGGGGTGGCCACTTCTAGGTGGGAAAATATATATATATATATATATATATATATATATATATAACATATATATGTGTATAACATGTGTATAACCCTATATATATAACATATATATATATATATATATATATATACAATATATATATATATATATATACACGGTGGGCCATTTTAATCGATGCACTCTAATATCTCGAAAACAGCACTCTTCAGAAAGAAATGTTTCAAACAAAAATTGTAGGGTGTGAAGGGGGACATAAGATGGTAGCATTGGTTTGACCTTGGAGAGTCATTTGAAGGTCACCTTCAATTTCTTAAATTGAACCCACTATTTTTCATTACATATTCTTGTAGCTTATCTCGAGAGCTTTCCAAAACACTACAGACAAATGTTTTTTCATTAAATACTTTTTGAGTTATAAGGCTTCAAAGTTTGCAGTACTTCGATATAAAATGCAAAATATCTCGTAAAATATTTAGTTTTCGGTAGTCTTACCCTAATACTTTTATGCACAGGATAATGAGACAAAACTATTGGTGCAAAGAAAACGCATGATTGTTTATAACAAAAAGTGCATTGCAAATTACACATTTTTTATCATAAACAATCATACGTCCCGGCGACGTCAGCCCACAAAATTATGCTGACTTCTGAATAATCGGGAGCAATGCATCGCGTTCGCTTTGGAAAACCTGGCGATGAGCCGTGAAGAATGGGAGGCAACGATCTGGACCGATGAAAAGGTTGTTGCCGATCGTCAACCTCATGTATGGCAACCAAGAGACGGTTGCATCCAAACCATGTTGTGCCTTTACAAAGAAGTGGAAGGATTTTCTGCGCAATGTAGGGTTGGATTTCTGGTACTGCAATCGGTGAATTGGTGGAAATTCTCACCCGCATGAACTCTGCGGAGTATATTCGCATATTGGAAGATGCTCTTCTTCCATCAGTACGTGCAATCTACCCCGCAGAGGACATGCCAGTGATCCGATTAGTACAAGATAATTCCGCAGTCCATACTTCTATTGAGACACAAACATGGTTTCGGAATCATCCGGAGATACAATTGGTCAATTGGCCTGCTCGTTCGCCAGATCTAAATTTAATCGAAAATGTTTGGGCACAAATGGTTCAACGATGGGAACCAAGAAGGGAGAGGATGATAGCAGCGTTAGTCAACCATGCGAAAGAAATCTGGGAAGAACTTCGATTCCGACCAGATTTCCTCGCTAACTTGATTGATTCGATACCTAATCGACTCAATCAAGTAATAAACCGGTCCGGATACTGGACAGATTATTGATATGCATGTTTCCGCAGCTTGTCCCATGATCGGCCCTTTTCAGGGCCAATAAAACTTTCACATTGCGAGAAGCGCCTATAGACGTTTCACTCCCTCGAACAATCGAGACAGTGCGAGTGAGACAACTATGGCACACAAACGGCAATATCTGGCAGCATAATTGTCTTACTCTCACTCTTTATTCCAATATTGAGTGAGTGAAGGACTATTGAGCGACTATAGGATAAAAAAAAAAGAATTTATTATCATAAAATCTATTAGAATTATTAGAATTAAGAATTAAAAATATGAAAGATATTAAAGAGATATTAAAGATATTAAAGATATATTAAAGAGATTAAAGATATTAAAGATATTAATTATTACAAAATTAATTATTATGAAATTTATTACAACATTAATTATTATAAAAATTAATTATTATAACAATTAGTTATAATTTATTGCTCATTAAATTTTCTCTTTATATAATATAATTAATATTTAATTTAATAGAATATTTTAACTCTATTAAAGAAAGAAATGAAAAATATATCAATATCGATAAAGCGCGCGAGACGCGTATAGAGACAATGCGGTGTCCCGCGCCGTATATAGCTGTCTCGCTCACACTCTCTCGTTCAAGCGCCGAGCGAGAAAGACGGCTATCGGACACCACCCGCTGCCCGGCTTGCGTACATGCGCGCTTCGCTTGTGTGAGTGTGACGTCAGTGAGCGTCAACACAAGCATAGCAGGACACCATTCTTGCCGGTGCGTGTACGTGGGCCAGGCAGCGAAGGAGAAAGTAGGGGTAAAGTAATGAGGGGCGTTCCGATGTTGTGTCCTTCGCGCACAGCATAAGAGCGAGAAAGAAAGCATTACAAGACATAATACCGAGTTAGAGATGTCCAATAGCCGTCTTTCTCACTCGACGCTCGAACGAGAGAGTGCGAGCGAGACAGCTACATACCGCGTGGAACACCGCGTTGTTTCTATACGTATCTCGTACGTTCTAGTATCGATATGCATACTTTTCTTTTCTTTCTTTAAGAAATGCGACTTAACCGCGTGCACTAAAGATCAGCATTCATTCTATTAAATTAAATAATACTTAAATTATATAAAAAGATAAATTATAATGAAGAATAAATTCTTGGCTCACGTACGTGCACGTTTCGTGTGTGTGCGTATGACGTCGACCGTCCACACATACATACCGGGACATTCCTGCCGGTGCGTATCCAAGTTTATGCGTATGAATAAATTAAATAACTATAAAATCAGTTGTATCTTTGAGAGCTTACCAGAGGAAAGAACATGGACAGACCCAAGATGAACAGATTTCTTGAAGAATTGAGATTTACATATTGCAATGTCGACAGACCTAACGAAGAATTAAATTAAGAATAATAAAATATAAACATGAAGCAATATATTTTAAAACAGCAAGTTCAATCATTTATATATGAATTATATATATTATATATTATATATATATATATATATATATATATATATATAATATA